GAAGCTGCCGGCTGCCACCTTTGCCGGGCGCATGCGAAACAGCGAAACAGCAGGGCCCTGAGGGACGGACCGGGCCTCCGGGCAACGGCCCCCACTGCCTAACGTCACTTTCTGACCCTACAAGAAAATCTAGCTGTCTTCCAGCCGCCGCAGCTCACAAACGGCGCATCCGTTGCTTTCTGAAGCCCTTAGAAAAGTAGCTCTGGAAGCTGCCGACTGCCACCTTTGCCGGGCGCATCCGAAACAGCGAAACAGCAGGGCCCTGAGGGACGGACCGGGCCTCCGGGCAACGGCCCCCACTGCCTAACGTCACTTTCTGACCCTACAAGAAAATCTAGCTGTCTTCCAGCCGCCGCAGCTCACAAACGGCGCATCCGTTGCTTTCTGAAGCCCTTAGAAAAGTAGCTCTGGAAGCTGCCGACTGCCACCTTTGCCGGGCGCATGCGAAACAGCAAAACAGCAGGGCCTGCTGGTCCCAACCGCGTGTCCCAAGGCCAGGCGCCACTGCCTAACGTTGCTTTCTGAAGCCCTTAGAAAACTAGCTCTGGAAGCTGCCGGCTGCCACCTTTGCCGGGCGCATGCGAAACAGCGAAACAGCAGGGCCCTGAGGGACGGACCGGGCCTCCGGGCAACGGCCCCCAGTGCCTAACGTCACTTTCTGACCCTACAAGAAAATCTAGCTGTCTTCCAGCCGCCGCGGCTCACAAACGGCGCATCCGTTGCTTTCTGAAGCCCTTAGAAAAGTAGCTCTGGAAGCTGCCGACTGCCACCTTTGCCGGGCGCATGCGAAACAGCGAAACAGCATTCTGTCTGTCTGTCTGTCTGTCTGTCTATCTGTCTGTCTGTCTGTCTGTCTGTCTCTCTATCTGTCTGTCTGTCTCTCTGTCTGTCTGTCTGTCTGTCTGTATCTGTCTGTCTGTCTATCTGTCTGTCTGTCTATCTGTCTGCCTGTCTCTCTGTCTCTCTCTCTCTCTCTGTCTCTCTCTGTCTCTCTGTCTCTATCTGTCTGTCTCTGTCTGTCTGTCTCTCTGTCTCTGTCTGTCTCTGTCTGTCTCTATCTGTCTCTGTCTGTCCCTTGAGCATTCTTCAGGGCAGGCCTTCTCCAGCGCGCTCCCCCAGCATCCGGCTGGGGTCGGTATATCATGGCCATGGATGGCATCATGGATGGCCATGGTATATCCCATTGAAGTCAGTCATTTCTCCCTGCCGTTTAAAAATGGCTCATCTCCATTTCGTCTCAGGCTCCATGGACAACATCAGCTGTCTGGCGGTGTTTCTCTAAGAGGCGAGGCGTTCATCCCGTGTTGTGACGGTTAAACATGTTGTGATCATATCATAATCATTTACTGTTGTTAAATAACTATGATTATGATTGTGATATGTTATTTGTTTTTTTTGGGAACTTTTTTGGAACAATCATGTGTTTTGTTCTTTAATTGGAATTAAGCCACCCACTTGAAAAGAGGAACATGTCGATGGGGATTGTGTGCAACACGTCGGAACTTGTCCATGGTGGACGTCACCAAGATTTTTGGTAAGATGCATTTGTTGTTTTTTTCCAAATATACCAAAAAGTTGGACATCTCCAAAAAACTAATAAACCAACATTCCACCATCCATTTTCCAAACACGACTACTAATTTCAACTTTGGACATGTGTTTGGTGTCCGAAAAGTGTGGTGCCCTCGTTCATAGATGGAAATGGATCTCCATTGTTTGGAGCCCCTCCAGAACTGGGATTTGGCAGTGGTCTTGCCAGGTACTGTTGCTGCACGAACAAGCAGTAGAGTTGAGGGCTTCCGATCTTTGGGTACCCTCTGGTAATCAAACATGGTTTGCTTCAAAATTCCCTCATCTATAGAGGTGTTTTTCCGATATTTGAGTGAAGATCAAAGAAGTGTTCCAAGAATTGACAGAACGGTCCGTACTTGGAAGCGTCTAATTTTCCTTCAAAGACATTTTCACCACTGGCATCAACTCTGCAGACAGGTTTTTTTTCGGCCCTTTTCACCAATTCCTCTGCAGCAACGATTCTGTCTTGGAAAACATATTTTTTGTCGAACTTCTTGTTGCCTCACTGGTTTCTTCATACTTTCTATTCTATCTTAGTTGGGAAGGATTACTCCACAGCCACCTCCTCTAGAGTGTTGTGCTGCAGAGGATCCTGGTGTCCACGCAGTGGTTCCGTTCCTGCCGTTTTCTTTTGCAGCGCAGATTTTCATATATTTTCATGGTTTGGAGGATGATTTTCTGCGGATTTTCCAGCAGTCTTGAACTGCAACAACCCAAAGCCGGTCTATTGATCCCTCGCTGCAAATGTTCTCTCAGCGCTTTCCAAAGTTGAAAAGCGTCCCAAGAAGCCTAGGCAAAACCGTTCATTTTTGACTGGACATCGGCCATGGTGCTGTCTGCCCGGAGTGTGAAGTTTCTGGGCGATCTTCATTGTATCCATGATGGAATGGGGCAGTTATCCAAAATATCTCAAAAATATCAAGACTTATCTCAAAGTATCTCAAAGTATCTCAAACATATCTCAAACTATCTCAAAGTATCTCAAAACTATCTCAAAACATCTCAAATTGTCAAGAAATTTCTCAAATTTTCTGATCTCAGGAATTATGTCAACATATCTCCAATTATATCAAAATACATCCAGCAGTCGGGCCGTTCAGCTCCAGTCGATCCCCGTATCGACACTTTGCTCGTGCAGTCGAGGTCCTGGAAGACAGGTAGCAAAGCCAATATTTTTTTGATAGGAAATATATAGGGGAATATGTGTATATATATATTGCATATATATATATTATTATTATATATATAATATATGACAAATATATATATATATATATATTACATAATATTACATATATATATATATACTCTATATGTTGGATATTGTACCATATTATATGTGCAAAATATGGAGATGTTTCAATCACCAAGAATTTTTCATGGAGGTGTAAGACTGGTCACCACCTAGGGGAAATACCAATCGGTATATCCGATGGCATCCGATGGCCCAAGTGCACGCAACGTGTGCGGCACGTGTGCCATAACCAGGCTTCACAAAACGTGGGGCCATGCGGCCATGCGGTGCGATCTGCAGGAGATAGTGGGGAAATCCCACTGCTGTTTTCTACCGTGAAAAGCGATGCTTTGACATGTTTTGGATTTGATATTACAGATTTACAGCAAAAAAATCAACCTTTGACCTAGAGAGTATGAATATGTATGAATGCCCGAAAGATGATAGAGCATACAGACTCATCATATAATATATAATAATTAATACTTAATTCTTGAATATAAATGTCAGCCTCGATGGTTTAGATCTGGACATATGAAATATCCATAAATATCAGACCATCCATTGTCATCCATTGTCCGTTGGGATATCCATCTGCAGTTGATGATCCCAGCAATCCCTCGAATTTTCATGGTTAAAACTAGAGAAACATAGAGAAACCAAAGTTGCCAGTTGCCCCAGAAGAATGGGTCACACTACGGTAGGCTGGTTTACAACTAGCCCAAGGATTGGATTATTTTTAGCACAGTATAACTGCAATGCGGTGTCGCAGAGTTCGCTAAGTTGGGTTATAATTCCAATTTGCTGGTAACTTTCTATACCTAACATATCATCATAATCACAATATTCATAGAAAGCTAAGGTGATGGTGTTAAGGGTGACCCCCTTGCTACTCTTATTTGCTCTTATTTGCTTTTATTGACTCTTATTGACTCTTACTTACTCTTAAGAATAAGAGTTGAAATTGCAAAATGGTAAAGTTCATGTGATTTCACAAGCTCCAGGTCACCTTGAAACCACCACGTTTTTTTGCACCACTCAGTTGAAATGTGTCGGTGTTCTTCCTATTTGTTGGAAGCGCTCTTCTTGAGCTTCAATGTGCCATCCTTACTACAATTTCCCACTAAACAAATGGTGAAAGGGGTCACTCCGCCAAAACCATGAGAGGGTATTCATTTTTGAATGATTAATATAGCCAAACTATCAAAAACTCGTGTTTTTAAGGGGGTCACTCCCTTAAAACCATGGGAAGGTATTCATGTTTGAATGATTAATATCCCCAAACTATCAAAAACTCGTGTTTTTGAGGGGGTCACTCCCTTAAAACCATGGGGGAGTAGTAATATTTGAACCATATCTTGGCTTGGCATTAAACCATGAGAGGGTATGCATTTCAGGGGGAGTGACCCCCTTCGAGGACTATTTCATATATTTTTTAGCATGTCAACACTCCCAACACACATTGGCGGCCCCAGTGTCAACTTGAAGTCAACCCGAGCACCCCAATCTTTCTCGCTGAGATCCATTTTGAGCCACAATCTTTGCCATTGATACACCATTTCAAATCAAGATAAACCCCATTGATCCTGAAACGACCATATTTGTTAAGAGTGGATAAGAGTGGATAAGAGTGAATAAGAGAGTTGATTTTGCCCCCGAAGGGGGTCAGTCTTAAAGCAGTCACTCTGGATTTCTATGAAATATAACTCCCTTCAAGGGTCGTGGCTGAGGTGCTTCCTCATGGCCTATGCCTTCATGAACTGTTCCTGCTTCGCCTTGCCCGCCGGTGGAACGATAGGTTTTTGCCCGAAAAAAAGGGCCTATGAAAAGTGAGGCTTGAACATGATTTAACCATGGAAAATGATGATTTAACCATGGAAAATGATGATTTACTCTAGGAAAGTAATGGATTTTGACAAAACACATGCTGCTTTTGCTGCTTTTACCATGAAAAACAGAGGTTTCAACTGAAACGCGAAGGGGCTTTTTTTTTCCCCACTTTTGGTCATCATTCTCATGTCAAATCTGAGCCATCCATGGCAAATTCTACAAGGTGGGGCCCCCCAGTTATAAGATGGTTTATAAACCCCATTAACTATAGTTATAAGTACCATAAACCATAGTTATTGGAGTTATAAACCAACTTAGCTATCTTGGGGGTACCACCTTGATGGGTTTTTGGATGGCAAGCTATCCCCATTTTGATCGCGGAAGATATCAAGGACCTGGCTCCACTCTTCCACCTGGCGACCCTCATGGATCCATCAACGTCGTGCCTGGAGCGGTGAAGCGGGGATCTCCGGGTCCTATGGTTTTTTTTTGGGAAAAACATCATGAGGATAACGCTCATATGCTCCTTGCATGGAATATTTACCACCATTTAGCCCATAAATGGCTGAAATGTAGGTAAATATACTAGACATGGAACATATGGAAAATTGATAATATATGTATATAAATGTATATACCATTGGGATATCAGAGAAGGGAATAATGATTGGATTGGAAACTGAATCATGGCAATTGGGAACATGGGTATCAATTGGAATTGCTATCGGATAAAATGATATATCATGGGGATATAATTATGTAGTAGGAATATCATGAATGGGTCCATATCGGGGATATCATGGTAATCCCAAAACAGATGCAGAAGGCAAGTCGAGGAAAGTCCATGTTTCACGGTTTTGCTGGGATTTTACGAACTTTATCTTTTTTTGGGGGGCGCGTAACATCGTTTAACAACCACAAGTTGGGATATAGGGCTCCCAAAAGAACACCAAAAACTCCCCAAAAAGATGGCACACATACCTTGGAACACTGGAACATATGGAAAAACCAGCATCGTTTTACCATCCTGGAAACATGTTGACCTTTTTTGGGGCTTGTGTATTTATATACAGTGTTTATGATTAGTGCCTTTGGATTTTAATGGAGAATGTATATTCCAATTCCAACTCTCATCTTCAAAACCCCGACCCCACATGAATGGATCCAGTATTCTATGAAAGAATTCGAGCAAAGGTCAGCAAGAATGGCCTGTTTTTCTTAATATCCAATTGTCAATTCTTTGTGTTAAATAGCCTGGTTTTTTCCCCATTGAACCAATTTTCATACATCGAGACCATTTTTTTTGCGGACCGGTTGGCGCAGAACAACTGTGGCTGGAGTTCAGGTGGATTTCTGTGTAGAGACCAAGAATCAATGGCCAGTTGCTGAATCCTCCCGTGCCGAGGATGGCGCTTGCTGAATTTGTTGTCTTGCGGATCCGGTTTCGTGATTTGTTCCTGGGCTCATGGGCGGGAACAAAACGAGCAGATTCCCACTGCCAAGCATTCAAAGAGATGTCCAACCTGAAATGCAACCTGAAGACTGCATTCTGGTGTCCTCATGCACACATGCTATTCATATACAGCCATGCATTGTATCTGAAATGTGTGATATATTTCTACCGGTCGGCATATTTGGTTTAAGACGCAGGGACCCATGGATTGAATGGCCCAACTTCAGTGGCGCATTTCTCTCTTCACGATTGGAGCTTTGCCAGAAAATTAACCATCAGGAAATGGCGATAATACATGATAAACTAGACTCTTTGCGGTTTTCACTTATCTATCTAATCTAATTTAAATCTAATCTAATCTAATCTAAATCTGAATCTAATCTAATCTATCTGGGCAAATTAAAGTGGCCTCACTGTGACCACGGGAATCATGCTTGGTAAGGGGGAACTATCCCAAAATAGCTTTATTTCAGGCTAGTATGTATGTATGATATATACAATTATACAATAAATGCATATAAATATAAATGCAGTATATTGTATTCCTTTGCATATCCCCTTAAATTGGAGGATTGGCCCAGAAAGGGCCCCATGTGGCCGGTCAGCCGCGTCAGCCTCCACTCGCCGGAATGACCCAGGTATTACTATCATGATCTTAGCCACTGAGCAGCGTTTGGCAAAGCGAACCTGGACTTTCTTGGACCATACAAATTGACCCAGGAATAGAACGAATTTACTTCTGATCCTACTCAGGAAGTGATGTTCAACTGGACGAGGGTTCTGGCTGATTATTTGGCAAAAAAAAAAGACGGTGTTGCAATCCCCCTTTTTTTGGTTCTGAATTCCACCAAAACTGGCCCCAGAAAATGATCCAATGCTCAACCAGAAACTCGGGGGCAGGGAGGCCATCAACCTCTGAAAGGGGCAGGGAGGCTTTAGCACTCAAAAGGATTTGAGTGCTAAATGGGGCATGGTGTCTTATTGGATTTACCACATCAATCATCCAATGGTTGACTGCTTGTTTGGGTCGGTGGATTGGAATCTCAACAACCACCCCCGCCACCCCGGATGGGCAGCATCAACCACTAAACGAGGAGGGCTTGAGACTCCATGAACGTCGGAGGAAACATCTGAACATGTTGAGTCATGGATTCCGAATCTATGGGTAGAGATATCTTGATGGAATGTGATGTTTCAGTGCCAGTATTACAAAATGGAGAGCATGAGGATGTTGAACATCAAACTAGATGGCCATTCAAACTTCCATATTTTGCTTGTGCCCCGCCAATCCATCTCTTTCGCCATATTCACTGTACATCCTTGAGTTACCTGGTACCTTTAGAGTTTACATTAAGCAAACCAACTAATTTTTAGTATAATCCAACACATGCTACACTTTCCTGCAAGGTTTCGCTTCAACTGGGTATCTACCTCCTATTTGGGCTGCTCCAAAACGGTGTAATGTTCCGTCCTGATTTGATATTAGTGTGTAGCCCCCGCCCTCAAAGGAATGATGTACTGTCTTTAAAGTTGAGTTTCAAAAAACAGATAAAATACGATCATACATGTAAGTAAGGATATGAATTGGCGACAATGGAAATCTAATTAAAAAGTTTTTTTCCGCAGAACTTGTAGTACGTTACCCTTTTGTACATTATTTTTTTTAAATGAAAGGTGTAACAAGGGAACGAGAAAGAGGACGAGAAAGAGCAATAAGAAGAGACAGAGGAAGAAAAAGGAAAACAGAAAGAAAGAAAAAAAGAAAGAAAAGAAAGAAAGAAAAAAAGAAAGAAAGAAAGAAAGAAAGAAAGAAAGAAAGAAAGAAAGAACGATTTGAAAGAAAGAAAGAAAGAAAGAAAGAAAGAAAGAAAGAAAGAAAGAAAGAAAGAAAGAAAGAAAGATTTGAAAGAAAGAAAGAAAGAAAGAAAGAAAGAAAAAAAGAAAGAAAGAAAGAAAGAAAGAAAGATTTGAAAGAAAGAAAGAAAGAAAGAAAGACAGACATAAAGAAAGAAAGAAAGAAAGAAAGAAAGAAAGAAAGAAAGAAAGACAGAAAGACAGAAAGACAGGAAGAGGAAGAAAGAGGAAGAGGAAGAGGAAGAGGAAGAGGAAGAGGAAGAGGAAGAGGAAGAGGAAGAGAGAGAAAAACAACGAAAAAAAGAGAATAAAAGAAAGAGCACGAGAAAAAAGAAAGAGAAAGAGAAAACAAAGAGAAAGAGAAAGAGAAAACAAAGAGAAAGAGAAAGAGAAGGTTGCTTTTATAAAGGGCTTTTCTTTCTTC